GTGTGTGCGTTTGCGTGTGCGAGTTTGTGTGTGTGTCTGTGTCTGTGTGTGTGTATATGTATGTATATTTATATATTTATCAGTCTGGCGAGTAAACTAAAAAATTTACTAGCCAATGGCGATTCAATTGCCAAAGTGTTCGTAGAGGGCTGGGCATTCATGTATCAATCACAAAGATGACGACTAAACTACGTGGTCAGGCCATGAGTAATACAGACTTCCTTAATATGCAGAAAACGCATTCTGAAGCAACTGCGCCTGATATTTAGAGGGCTGGGCATTCATGTATCAATCACAAAGATGACGACTAAACTACGTGGTCAGGCCATGAGTAATACAGACTTCCTTAATATGCAGAAAACACATTCTGAAGCAACTGCGCCTGTGCACCACAGATATTCACTATCACGCTTGTCTAAGAGACAGACATGCAGCGTGGTTGCGACTGTGTGTTAGCGCATGTGGGTGAGCAAAAAACGCTGAATTTTCAGCATCATTACTTCAGTCTTCAGTGTGAAATGATTCTTCATTATAATGTGCTACTCATGATTTGCTACTGAAGAAACTTATTATACTAAGAAATTTCTTATTATTGTCAATGTTGAAAAAGGTTGCACTGTTTAATTTTTTTGTGAAAACCGTGATGCATTTTTTTCAGGATTCTTTGATGAATATAAAATTCAATTCAAAAACAGCATTTATTTAAAACAGAAATCTCTTGTAACATTATAAATGTGTTTATTGTCACTTTTGATCAAATTAATGCTTATTTGCTTAATAAAAATGTTAAATGGATAGTACATCCAAAATTGTCATTAATTGTCATTACTCACCCTCATGACGTTCCAAGCCTGTAAGACCGTATATGTGTGTGTGTGTGTCTGTGTCTGTGTGTGTGTATATGTATGTGTATTTATATATTTATCAGTCTGGCGAGTAAACTAAAAAATTTACTAGCCAATGGCGATTCAATTGCCAAAGTGTTCGTAGAGGGCTGGGCATTCATGTATCAATCACAAAGATGACGACTAAACTACGTGGTCAGGCCATGAGTAATACAGACTTCCTTAATATGCAGAAAACGCATTCTGAAGCAACTGCGCCTGATATTCACAGATATTCACTATCACGCTTGTCTAAGAGACAGACATGCAGCGTGGTTGCGACTGTGTGTTAGCGCATGTGGGTGGGGCAGCAAAAAACAAGTATGTTGTCTTGCAAAGAGAAAAGACTGGGTCACATTCTAAAAGTTCTCAATCGTGCAAAGAATGTGTTGCCGTAACCCGCCAATTTTTTACTAATTCACTATGGTTTAATTTAAAACCTGTCTCTTCAGGAGCTCAACGTGGATTCTAGAGAAAGGCTTGGCGGCATGTCAAAACCAGAAAACCACAGCCTGCTCCTATGGCCCGCGCCCCACGTTGTCAAAACAGTTTGTCGCTATGGCTGCCAGGACCTGAGAGGCCACAGTTAAGCGTGTCAGGGAGTACAGCACAGGCTAGGTGGGCAGACACAGGAAGTTGTCAACCACCATCTATAGCAGTGGTTCTCAACTGTTGGGTCATGACCCAAAAATGAATCATGAGTCTGTTCAAAAAT